TTTGTAATTCAGAGTCTTAGAGTAAGGAATGACATAGGCAGCATAAACTAAATTATATGAAGCCAAACAATAATGTTTTAAAATAATCTATACTATAATATTATAAAGAGGTAAAGTTTGTGAATTGTGAGTATGTGACATTGTAGGAGGTAATCTCTGGATCTACTGAACCGATTTAGATAAAATTTGTCGCAGTGAGTCGCTAATATATTATAATCTTTTAAAACAGTATGCAATTAAAGTTAATAAAACACTTAATACTGTGATAAGTAATTAAATGTTTATAAATAAGCATAGCTAACGGATTTTGTTACAACAAAGAAAAAAAAATAAGCTAGGTACCTAATATTATGCTAAGTATCTCTCTTTTAAGGGGAAGAGAACAAATGCTTAAATAACACAAAAGAACATAGTATTATTTTTATCATTCATATTTTCTTTTCAGAAATTATAAATTAACCACTAATACCTACGTATATAAAATTTCCCTCATTCTTTGAAAAAAGTGAACCATCTGTATGGCAAAATCGAAATTAGTATCAACAATACTTGTTACAATACTTGTTGATGGAAGTTAGTAGCATAAAAATAGCAAAATCACACCACTATTTTTTTTGACGGACTCGATCTAAGTATATAACTCTTTAGTCTGAGTTCAGACTGCAGAGTATTATATTTGAATCATATATGTTGGGACATTAACACACAGCACCATCTAGTTCCATGGTAAGCTACGAGGCTTATATTATTTACAAATAAAAAATATATTTTATTTCCATCAAAAATCAAAATTTTCGTATCAAAAATAATTTTCCTCTGTCATAATACTTACATTGAAAAAATCGTAGCGCGCAGAAGGTACCTAATAATTAAAGCTTGAAATGAAATAGTTTAATTGTATTTTAAACTTTTCCCACCACTGCACTGTACTGCAATGGTAATAGGTTGCATTTCTATCTCTTTTTTAAAGTCTTCTCTAAATCGCTTGTCTTAAGTTCTATAACTAGTGAAAGCACTACAATTTAGTGTCTATTTTTTTGTTGCGAAATGTTTACGTTACATATGAATAGCCTAACTTTCGTTTATGAATAAAAGAGCACGAATTAAATTTCTTTTACCTTTTCAAATTTTTGCTTGCATTTTATGCTTTTTCACTCTAGTGACTATTGTAGCACTAGTATTGTTGTTGGGCTTGAAAGCATTTTTTCTTACTATATTATTGTTAGAATAATATTCAAATCGTTGATTTATTCATACATAATTTATAACGTTATAAGGTGAATTTTTTGTGTTCACAATTATGATTTTTTTTAAATTAGTAAAACAAAAATTGAATAATTATAAAAGTAATATAAATTTGTTCTTATTTTGTTATAAGTTATATATGTAAAAAAATTAAAGGTTTATTTTATTATTTCCATTTATTTTTCAGAAATTAATGAGCCTAATAATTGAAGCCTTCACTTCAAAAGGGAGATGCACGATTCATTACGCGATATCTTTGCCAATAATTTCGGATCAATTTTCATAATTATTGAAAAGGTTAAAAAAACCGCCAAGCGTTTTTGTTGTTTTTTACATGAAATGTTAATATATTATTGAGTTTGAATATTTAGCATAAATACATTTTATTCATACAGTTCACGTTAGTAAAAATAATTTAGTAAAGAACATGTAATTTTTAGTTATAAAATAATATGTTAATTGCTGTAAAAAAGTAAAGAAAATATTTAAAAATTAATTCTTACCCCTACTTCACAAATTGCAAAATAATCCACATCTACGTAATAATATTTGTAGCACAATTTTTCTAACGTTTTCATGTCAGTTTAATTCGTCATTTTCCCGCGCAACTGTAGCTACTGTCACAGATTACGTGTGGCACGCCGCTCGCACGTCTTAACACTGAATGGCTTTAGGCCAAACTCTTGCGCTTAACAATTTTAACGGGATGCGCTTGCGCATTAAATAATATAATTAACATTTTCTACATCCCTAAGAAAGAGTAAAATGGGATATTATCTTGTATATCTTCAAATCACCTATTTATATACAATTCTTTAATTTTCCCTGGCTTGCAACAAATCTGACTACAATTATAATTCATTATATTAATGCAAAAGTTATATATGTGTGTATATTTGTCACACCTTAACGCTGAAACTTGTCACTCCTTAACGCTGAAACGGCTGCATTTGGATGAAATTTATTTATTATACGTACTTAACACGTTAACAGTCCGGTGTACGATACGACAACTGAAGTAACGCATACGATGATAAAATACATGCTGTTTGGGACCTAGGAAGTAGGGACGCATCCGATCGAAGCAAGGGTAAGTCGCTTGTTAAGAAATGGAATGAAATTAGACTTTATTCAAATTCATTTAGGTATACAAACACTTTTGAATCATCAGTTCAATCTAAAGAGTCATTGTAGTCAGTTCGTGTGTTAAAGCTACCACCAGGTCGGAAAGCAATTCTGCTGAGAAGAGCCGGCGAGAAATTCAACAGTTGCTATTTTAAATATTGACTTAGTTTTTTTAATATGTATATGTGTTATAGGTAGCCCGGGCACACATTTCCATGAACAAAAGTTCTTGAACAGAGTACCTAGTGTATTTTACTCACCGCCTTAATATATTTTTAATTTAATATTATAAAAAACAAATTATAAAAATTATCTATCCTAGATGTTTTGACTTTGTCGTGGCCTACGAGTATTTAGTTTTAGCTAAAATAAGAACGTTAAAAGTTTGCATGTTTTAACACATCGGTAATAGTAGCCACGACGTTATCGTTTCTCCAATTCCTGGTTAACTATCCATTATACCTAGTTTAAAATAATTGTCTATAATTTTAACACGATTTTATTAGCTAAAATAACTTACTTTTATTATCTACTAGCGACTCATCCTCGCTTCGCTCGGGTTCGTCCCTGTGTACGTTTTAAATTGAAATAGTTATAAGTAGTATGTTATCCTTAAGGATAGACATATGCTATCGCGGACATTTCTGTAGACCTATATAAGATACACAATTCCACCATACATTATTTTGTTATAGCTCAATAGGCAGCGTTTTCGTTCGACATCTCTCTCTAGTATTTAAGTTGAAATTGGTGACAACGGTCTGATATTGAAGCCAAGGGCTGATACTAGAAGTCTTCTGACTGATTATTAGCAAGAGAAAGATCTCTTAGAATAAAATACGAATAAGAATTCGTAAGAAATTCTTAATTTAAAAAATAGTAATTGGTGGCATAGAATATGTAGGTATCGATTTACTTATAAATAGGTATCCATTTTAAATATTATATTTTTGTTTATCTACACAGGTAAATCTCGCGACAAGCTTTTATATCATATAAATTGTGTAATGTAATAAATTGTTGGGTTTGTTTTAATTTAAAGTATATTTTTTCTTTTTAGAGCATTTAAGTAAAAGTTTGTTTTTAAAAATGTTTTTTTACTATTAATTTATTTTTTATTTTATTTATATTCTCCTCAGCAAACCCTTGCGTTTGATAGCCATATTATGGGAGTACATAAAAAACTTCCATTATTAATTATTATTACCAACTTTAGGAGTCCGCCATATTGGACTTAGAATGACGTTTAGTCAAATTTAGCTTGCAAGATTTGATTTTACAGGCAGACAGACACCGGGACAGGTGAAACTAAATAGTTTGTATTGATAAATCGCCAATATTTTGCGGCGTCCGCCATATTGGATTCACAATGACGTCACTTATCGTATTTCGCTTATTTAGCCTTTTTATATGTAGCAATATACTCTATGATCAAGCCCTTTGATTTGATACCCTTAACACAGGGATTAATGTAGAAATTATAAATCGGCATTTTTTTGCGACCGCCATATTGGATTTACAATGACGTCACGTTGCTTACTGTGTTTCACTAATTAAGCTCTTACATTTGATGTCCATCAAATGAGGGTTACTATAGTAGTGATAAATCGCTGTTTTGTAACTTCCACCATATTGGATTAAAAATGGCGGCATTTAGGTAATCGGGCATTGTATCGGGAACCAAACTAGTGTGCCAAATTTCAACTCAATCGGACACTGGGAAGTGGGTCAAATTTAACTTGCAAGATTCTATTACACACACAGACCGGGACATATGAAACTAAATAAAAGCTTGTAAAAATAGAAATCATTGGACTCATTAAATGACACTTATCTTAGAATTTTTATATTGTATGAAGTGAACATTTAATAGTTTATGAACAATATTAAAGTGTTTAAATAAACAAACAACAATTATAAAAAACAAATGTATTATAATATTTATCTAATCACAAAGTATACTAGAGATAATCATAAATAGTAGATAAAATCTTTAGTCTTAACAGTAATACTACTTTAAAAATATATCAGGATTTCACAATTACTAACTACTTAAAAGTCCAGTAATGCTTAGTCTTACCCTGATTTAGAGTACTTAAAACAAAATTTCATAATAAATTATAATTTTGACCATTTATTTGTTTGTCCATGTAAACTTATATACCCTAAAAAACATATTTTCTTTCTCTAAATAAAAAAATATTCATTACCATCACCAACAACTTATTTCAGTCAAGTATTAGAACAATACAAAGAAAGAGTTTATCACATTTTTCACTATTAATTTTAAAATTAAGTGAATTAAAAATTAATTATTATATTTCAATACAGAGAAACTATCAATATTGCAAGCAAAAAATATACATACAATTTCATTTAAATGATACTTATCATGTTGTAAACATGCAAAATTATTTATCAACAGAATATATTCTATTTAAATGTAAACAATAATAATAATAATTTGTCATTAATGCATTTATAAAAATAAAAACTAACAATATAATAAAACATTATCAACATATATATTCTTCCTAATGCCAATTTAATAGGAATTAACTGTTTATTTTATTGTAAACATATATTTGCATGCTTCATAGAGTAAACAATAACATTAAAGATATTATTTATGTTTCTTCAATATTTGGGTTTTCTGAAAACAGCTGGTGATCATTATAGGTGCGAAGGTATTTCTTTGTAAAAATGTACAAAATAAGACCCCACTTTAGCATCATGAAGGACCATACCATGCGGATGATAATGCTTGTTCGTATTGGTATTACATCTGAGGATTTAAAGAAATTTGTGAATATTTATGATATATATAAGGAAACCTTTATATTTATTTAAATGGGAAATAACTTACCAGCCTTGTAGTAGATTTCTAAAAATATGTAAAATAGTGTTAAAGCTGTTCCAGACACAAAGCCAACCATACCGAAGTCTCCAATATATTGAAGTGCTTTTCTTGAAAAGTTCACATGTAGTGATTCCTTCAAGAAGTGGCAGTGCAGCATTAGGGCTAATGCAGCATGTATGCCTTAAATAATAACAATCAATAAAATCCATGTAACAATATTACAACAATAACAATATTACATGATCCAGTATATTTTAGCTCCCTATATATATTATGTGCATAAATTTAGTTTTATTGCATAAAATATATTCATGTTTTATTATCTGAATAAAACAATCATCATTGCAAAAATCTTATTTATCTTATAAAATGTACAAACATATAGTAAATATTTTATAGAAATTTAAAATATATTAAAATAAACATTTTTTTATCTTTTTGTAATTCCAATAAATGAATAGAAATGCTCTTGAGATTAGAGTGAAAGTCACTTACCAGACAATAACGCCCACATCCCAGCTTCAATGTTTGCATAAACAATGCAAAAACATATAAATGCTGACAAACCTAATATCGTACCGATAGCGCTTAGCGCTATGTGGATTTTGGTACGCAACATAATGAAGGTGCTTGTGAGGTATATTGATTAAATAATGTATTTATATTTTAAATACGGTTTGAAAATAACTCTGCGACACAAACAAATAGGATTTACGCTTTTTTTGGATAATAATATTTGATAAGAAGTGACAACTGACAGTAGATACTTAGATGGTATTTGTCAATGTCAAACCACCTATGATATTTTTATTTACAATATTTGACAACTAGATTCGTAGATACTTTTGCAATTATATTTTTATCTGTAAGATGAATGCATATGAAAGTAGATCGGATTTGGGCAAAAAGGGAAAAGAATTAAAAATACATAATAAATAATATAATGTACTAATTAATATATGAACAATGTAAGATGCATAATAATAATTATGACATTGTAAAAAAAAAATTTCAAATTAACAACATAAATATGATTAAGCGTGTGTGTTAATAATTTAATAAATTAAAGTAATAAATATATTTATGATTTATGAATTTGATCCACAGAATAGGTTGAAAAAGATTTTTGTTTTTTGTTAGAGCCTACGTACACGACAACTTTGTAACGCGCTGTCAACGTATGTTTTACGCAATGAGAAAGAACGGGCTAGCCAGCTGTCTGCGAGAGTAACAACGTGTGTTTACTGTTTTGTCGATTCCAATCTGAATTCAATCTGGTTCAATTTTTTTGCTAAGTTCATACATATTTATTGAAGTGCATAATGAAAGCAGTTTTAGTACCATAAAATTATAATTACAATACAAAAGTACTAAAAATCGCTATTTTCATCTTCTTTTTCTAGTATTGCGGATCAGTTTCTCTTATAATGATCTAATAGCATTCCTCTAGCATGTTTTCATCCCAAAACCTTTGATGTCTTATGAACAGTTTTCTGCAAATATCTCGAAAACTTTGAGGTTATTGTAAAAAGTGTTATTTATAAAAGTTATAGATTTTTACTAGACCTATAACTTTTGTAGAAAAGATTTTTCGAAAGAACGTCACAGGAAGCCGAAAATTAAAATAAACTATATTTCAACGCTTTACGTCCACGCATTTCTCGGGGGTGGGCATCGGGGGCATTTTACGAATTTCTATTCCTTATATACGAGTACCTACTAACATTTTAAAATCATAAAACTTCAGATTTTCAATATATTTTTTTTCTCGTTAAAAATAAACGGATTCCGATTGGTCTAATAAACAACATCCCATCTTTGACAAAAGTGTTAGTGTAAGGGGCGGCGAAACTTATTTCGCCCGGGGCGGCAAAATGGCTGGATCGGGCCCTGACTGTATAACCTGTACTGAAAAGAATTTTTGTGTTTTCTTGTTAGATTTAACTGCAACATCACTTTCATTGTTGTCTTCTACTTTCTAGTATATTTTGACTTGAACTACCGGAGAAATTGGCGAGAAAGAGATCCTTCAGATTTAAAACTGGATTAGTAGCAGACGGATACTCGCATTATTTATTATATTATAACCCTGTCTTCGTAGCGTATAATATTATGCGATCTGTGATAATAATAAGAGTCACTTCCGTGATCACTTGGTTCTCTCCCTAATATTGGTGAACAAGTGGAAGGCCGAAGGTGTAACCCTATTGAAAAACTCAAAAACAAAAGCGATAAAAGCCACATAGAAAACAATAAATATTTATTAGTTTTGTGTGGCTTTTGTCGATTTTGATGAGATCCTATTGGAGTTTTTAAATAGGGAAGTTGTCTCCTAATGAGCGTTGTAGTAAAACGATTATAAAGCTTTCACAAAATACATTAGGGACGAAGTTTTCATCGTAATTCGCAACAAGAAATCCGAAATAATGAAAATAACCAGGTGAAAAACTTCTCATATTAATTTTCTCTTTAATGCGATCGTGGATAAGTGCATTTTCAAGCGACTTCAAAAAGGAGGAGGTTCTCAATTCGACTGTATTTTTTTTAAATGTTTGTTACCTCAGAACTCCGTCATTTATTAACCGATTTGGACAATTTTTGTGTTGTTTGAAAGTGTATACTTCCAGCAATGCTGTGGCTAAGTAATTAAAGCCTACCTATTAAATACATGCCTAATCAAATATTTTCGAAATCGGTGCCAGCCCATATAAAGCAAAGCACACCGACATCGAAAATATTTCATTAGGTATGTATAGTAAATGAAAACTACCAATCAGTTATTTTTTACTTTTTAGTGCTTTTGTTTGAAGTCAGTTTTTATTTTTTTGTTAAAAAGTTTTTATTATGTATTTTATTTTTCATTTTCAAGTTTCTGAATTCGACATTTTTATCAATTTTCGACGCAAACTTAGACAGATCTGGAGGAGGTCTAAATACACACAGGTAAGGAGCAAAGCACGCCCACGCACTGACAGACCGTTTCACCATTGTGGAATGATGTTACAGCGGCCGATGACTCCGCGTCGTCGCGCGCTAGCTCAACATTAAATATCTCAGAAACTATAAGACGTATAAAAAAATGTACAATATTCTTTCATTTATAATGTAATGTATTGTAAGATAAAAGTCAAAAGTTGGTAATATTCTTCATTGGATAGCGATAATTCAGCCTATTTTTGTTTGCTTAAATAGACGATAGATGGCGTTCATCCCCAAATCTTACTATCATTAGGAATGTGTATTAACATTATTGTAATGGCTCTCACTATTATAATATTACTAGCGAGTAGCGACGCACCCTCGCTCCGCTCGGGTTTCGTCCCTACTTACGCTTTAACGTTTAGCACAGATTTGTCAGAGATGAGATATTTTCCCGCAGTAAAAGATATCCTACATGTTGACCCAGATAACCAGCTAATATCATACCAAATTTCATCATAATCTGTCCATTGGTTTTCTCGTGATGCGTTCCCAGAAAGACAGACAAAAATTCTAAAAACTATAGATTCAGCCTTAATATCGATAATAATGACTATTTCAATAAGATTTTCCAAAAAATATTTAATCTACAGATTCGTATCAGTTAGAATTTATACTAATATTATAAAGAGGTTGAGTTTGTTTATTTGAACACGTTAATCTCAGGAACTATTAATCCGAAGCGAGGGTGAGTTGCTAGTTATTATTATAGTATGTATAATATTTAAGGAGCTCACTATTTCGAATTACTTTAATTAGCCTATTTTATAAAACTATAATATACCTTTTTGGGATCTATTTTGTTTTATTAGTTTTACAGAATTTTTAATGGCAACTCAATACTTATAATGCCTTTTATTGACAATTAATTATTTTAACTTATTTTTCTTTGTGCCTGGTGAAACTCCATAGTAGGTACTAATCTCAGACCAAAGAAATTGTACAGTATATTGTAATCTGTAATAAAAAATAAAAAAGACTTGAAAATTTAATAAACTTTATTTCTTCATTTTTATTATTTTCAACTTTTTATAAACTGATTAGAATTAACAAAAAATTAACATTTTAAGTGGGTTTGAAAATTTATTTAAATTGTTATAAATGATTTTTAAAATCTATCTATTATAATTATCTATATTTTTATTTTATATAGTAATTAATGTATACGTAAAACATAAAAATTGGATAATATGTATTGTGCGTAGAGTCTATCATGGCATATGGTGGCAAAACTTGGACATCAAGACCACAAGAGACTCCAAGCTAAATAAAAATCATGGAAGTGTATTGCACTCGACACAGAAACACAACGATAGGTCATTTAAGGCGCTAACTTGGTGGTGACCATTTACCAGCAACTATTTATGTCATACATATCCTTTAAAGATGTTCAACGGACAAACTTAACGTTAATCACTGCTATTTATTTATAATAATATAGATGCAAATGCAATAATGAATATATAATTTTTCAGCAAATATATTTTTTAAGACATGCTTAAAGTACCAAAATAGTTTACATAATCAAAATATATTTTAAATAAAGGCTCTTTTGACAAATTTTGTGTTTAAAATCTTGACATCTATTATATTTTAAAAATATAATAAAAATAAAACGTTTTATTGCTGAACAACACTGTTGGTAGATTTTTCGTGAGTATGTGAATGGCAAAATCCTAAATAATGCAAATTCTTGCAAAAGTTAAATTTCAGAATTTAATCCTTGTAAAAAAATACTATCAAATAGTGCAAAATATCTTTTTTTTTAAATACGTTGTTCGATTATTAGACTAGAAAAACTAATTTTTCAAAAATCTCACAATATTATTTATATTAAAAAAAATTGTTTAATATGCTCCATATTTTGAATTTCGCCTTCCACATCATCATGCAATTGCATGCCCACTTCAATAGTATAAATTTTGTTTTTGACTTTACAAATTAACCTTTAATTTTCAAAGTCTAAAAAAAATAATGATATCAATAAACATTCTATACTCAACAAAACAATTATCTATATTATTAGCGATAGTTAACTTAGGTATATAATTACTTACAATATGATGACATGTGAATAATGACCTAGTCTTCTCATCATTCAACCAAATTCTCAATAAATGTAATTTAAGAAAAAACTAACCAAATAACCATTGGAATAACCTTAGTCTTAATCACAATTTACTCTTAAGCTTTAAGTAATCTCAAGTAATTGGGCCTAAGTTTGCTTAAAGTGACAGGATCAAGTTCTGATTTCTTATGAATTCTTAGATGACTCTTCATATTCCCGCGTTGGGCGTATCCTCTCCCACATATTGGACATTTGAAGGGAGTTTCACCTGTGTGAAGTCGCATGTGTTCTCTTAAATATTCTTCATGGTAGAAACTACTGCCACAAACTGTGCATACTGCTGGTCTGTCGCCTGAAATTTAAATTTCAAAACAGTATTTTAGAAAATTTAAAATAAATTGATGAATCAGCATACACACCAATAACGTGCCTACTCTACAGCAAAAAGCAAGAATCAAATCATTAAAGAAGAAAGTATTAATATCTGTCACAATATTAGTAGTAAGTACTTTCACATTCAAATGAATTGTATGTCCTTGGGATTTTAATTACTTGTACTTAATGCAATTTTGAAATTTTCTACGTGTTTTTTAGTTTTACAAGATTTTATGAAACAAATGAAAACTAATTCACGGGTTCAGTATAAGGGAGAGATTAGTAGATGGTGTACTTAATAAGCAACATTTATATTATGTCAAATGAAATGAAAGCATATTTTAGTTCTCTCGCATTATTATAATACAGATTTTTAATTCTTAGAGGTAGGTCAAAGGCTGACTTTACTGTGAAAGTAAATCGGCATATAACAGTTTAAATATTGGAATTGATGGATATATTCATTGATTAATTTCAAATAAAAATATATATTCATATGCATTAAGAAATGAGATAACCCTAACAATAATTTGTTATAACATCTATGTGTGTAAAATACTATGTATAACAATAAAGCTCTTTCAGCCTACTAAAATAATGCAGTGGTACAGGTAAAAAAGTTTTTTACTTTATCCTACAATTCTTTAATGAATTTTTAATATTTATTTATAAAACCAAATGGAAAATACTATTGGTTTTTCAGCCTTATCTATAAAGAATTAGGGTTCCGCTCAAAAAAATTAAATGTACCTAAGGATGCACCCGAGAAAAGCGAGGATAAGTCGCTAGTTGTATTAAATACTAGCAAATCACTCTCGCTTCGCTCAGGTTTATCCTTAGGTGATTGTTTAAATTTACATGAGTTTTTTATTTATGAACCGATTGAAATAAAGCATACTAAGTGTTAAGTGTAGCTTACCACAATACATTAGTGAAAACCGCACCCAAATCGGTTAAGTCGTTTCCAAGATAAGCGTGCACAAACGCAAAGACAAATAGACAATAATTCTAAAAATTATTGTTTTGGGTTCTATTGCGTTAATAGACCCCCAATAATAGTTTTTCTAAATATCTTCCATGTACAGACTGCGATCAGTTACACTTTTATTATATTATGTATAGATTAATAGATAAATAAAATATTACCTGTGTGAACTGATCTCTCATGAACAGTCACAGATTTAGCACACTTATATATTTTATTACAAAATTGACATTTGAATTGCTTTTTAGGACGCAAATGCTTGTCATGTACATTTCTATTGTGATTGCTAAGTTCGCCTTTGAAAGCAAACCCTTTGCCACAAATGGCACAAATAAAAGTCTTATGTTCTTCATGCTTTCTTTTCACATGTCTTTTTAAATAATAGTTTGAGACAAATACTCTAGAACAATGTGAACATTTTACTGGACTCCTAAAGTGAACCCTTTTCTTATGAACAGTCAATTTATCCGTAGATTTAAACACTTCTCCACATAGGTCACAAAGTTTTGGTGGATTAGGTTTTTTTATTTTTGGTATATTTATTGTTATCCTTTTCTTACTTTCAGTCTTTGGCTTAAGTAGTTTAGACTTATCATGTAAAACGCTATTACTTTTAGAGCTGCAACTGAAAAAAAAAGAGAGCAAGTAAATACTAACAAAATAAAACCTACTTTTTGAGATATACTGTATAAATATAGAGATTGCAAAAAAAAATTTAAAAAAATATTACCACCATTGGTCCCCATTCCATGCGAATTGACCTTCTAGAATGGATGTGGCTATATTACTTGTATTCTGTTTAGTATTTGATTTTAATCTGCAACCTTTCTTTTTTGTTGTGGCTTTTGATGAATTATCATCATTTTCAACTTTTATCTTTAGACTAAATTCTAAAGGCTTAAAGTATTCCTCATGATGATCACTTAAATCAAAATCATTATCACTACTAGACTGATCATATTCATTTTTTATATTTTCTACTTCAATTTCTTCTTCAGACATCCCTTTCCCACTTAAACTACTCAGTTCATCAGTTTCTTGTTTTATTACTTCTAAGCCATTTTCCAATATTTTACAGGAGTTTTTATATTTATTTATAAAATCGTAAGCCGTATCAAGAACTTTATTACATAATTTACAAATAAATCTCGGATATCCCTCTATATCTTCTATCTGAAAGAAGAAAATGAGTTGATATTATTTAGATCCTCTAAAGAGTTAGTTATATAAAAGACTTCTTACTTTCTCTTTTAGGCATAATACCAATTTTGATAATATACAAGTTTCATCGTCACTTTCTTCAAATATAGGTAAATCAGCCCCATTTTCTAAACAAATTCTACATAAGTTCACAACCGTAATTTTATCCATAATATTGATTAAAAATAATAAGTAGTTGTTTTTTACATCATGTGTACATCAAAATATCGTGAATTGATAAATTAACCGATTTTAGTAATATAAGAAATATTTCTCTTTTAATATTTACAATTAACTGGTAATTATTGGTATTTGGTAATATTTATGTTTTGACATCCATGATTTCAACACTGCGTAGAGCTGACAAATGTCAGCGTTGTCAAATGTCAATACACATGTCATTTGGTTCATATTGTCAATGGGAAAGAATTTTGCCTTTTTCTCCCGCCAGATGTCACGATCACTATAGCCCTCAGTATATTGTAACCTCAATAGTGTGGATGGATTTTTTTTTCATTTTATTTACAATTTAATTAAAATAACAAATTGTGCAGTGCCAAGATGCAAAGAAAATGGATATCATTTGTTCCCAAAAGACAAAAACTGAAGAAATCGTGGGCTAAAGCCTATCTACTAAGGACTATCAAAATTGGCGAAATCACAATTTTCATATTTAAGACTATTGTAAGGATAATGATTTTAAAACTCTTAAATCGTCTCCAGATGAAAATATTTTTAGTTTTGTGTAGTTTTTACCTTTATTATATTAATTAAAGAGTTTCATGCAAACTTTCTTCCCCCAGTTTACCCCCTTTTGGGATTGAATTGTGAAAAATGCTAAAACACGTATTCATATCAAGTTTCAAGTAGTTCTGATCATAAATAATTCTTTGCCCATATAAACTTTATAACCCCCTCTTACCTTTTTAAGGGATTAATTTCGAAAAATAAATAAATAAATATATTTGTTATTTTTTATCATAAAGCTAAACACCACTTTTCAGTTTTATACAATCCCCTATTTTACTCTCTTAAGGGATGAATTGCGAAAAACTTCTTTTTTATTGGATGCTTATACCATATAAGGAATACATCCTTCAAATTTCACGTTTCTACGACCAGTTGTTTATGCTGCATCCATCAGTCAGTCAGGACCACCACAGGATGCGCCTTTTTTTGTCAATTCCTATTTAATTTTTTGTCAATATTGCACAGGTAAGATGCGAACACAATAGAAGCAAAAAACCGGGTACAAAAGAGATATCATAATAAATTGCTAAACCTCAGACTGAATGTAAATAGGCGACACGTGTTGCGCCCTCCTTGCGATAAATCTTCCACATTATTTTATTAATGATTTCCTTTCAAGTACCTAGTTACAATATGATTATAATTTTAATTTCAATTATTTTTATCAAAATAGATGTTGTAGGTATCTTTTCTTGAAATTTATTAATAGATTATATAAAAAACTTGGATACACATATTGAACTATCTTTTTTTGAGCAAGATCACAAGACTAACCATAGACATAAATTTATCACCAACTTGTCTTCTGTCATCAGGTGATTGAGATTGGGAGTAAAATCCTGAATAGGGATAAAACGCCAATATTTTCCTAAATCAATATGTCTGGAAAAGATAAATTGCCGATTTTCCCTTCTCGGGGGTAAGTTTTTGTATTCATAAGTCTTCTAGTACATTAAATCAAACGACTTCATTATTGAACTTGCACTAAGACTTTATTTTGGATTCTAGGGCTCAGATGTTAATGAAAGCTCGTCTGGCTGGAGCACAGAAAGGCCATGGTCTCTTGAAAAAGAAAGCTGATGCCTTGCAAGTGAGGTTCCGTATGATCTTGAGCAAAATCATCGAGGTAAGTATCTCTTTTTGACATACGCATTTGTAAAAACTTACACTTCTGTATCACCTCAATATTACTTACAATTCAATTGGTTATCAGAGCTACATAATTTAGAAGCAGAAAAGTACTAATTAAAATGAGTAAAAAATTATGATTTTTAAATAAATTGAATTTTAAAAACATTTTTTTTGTTTTTCCGCAATAGTTGAAATTTCGTGAGGGTGATATATCATAATAATTAATTGGTTTCACATTTTATTTATTTACCAGTCTGATTTTCTTTATGTTTAAAACACATCAATCTTTTTGGATTTTTTTGCAGTTTTATTTTGATTTTTGTTTCTCAATGTATCAAATGCTTTACAACAATCATGGTCACGGGAGAGACTACGATTTTAGATGTCTTGAAGGCATTATATAGTCATTAAAGATAGCCTACTTACAAAAGTTCAAAATGAATTATAATTGAATATCATACATTACTTTAAAAATACATATCTTATGAAACTTTTTCATTCTTAGACTAAAACTCTTATGGGTGAAGTGATGAAAGAAGCAGCATTTTCATTGGCTGAGGCTAAGTTTACTACAGGAGATTTTAACCAAGTGGTCCTTCAGAATGTAACCAAAGCTCAAATCAAGATCCGTTCCAAGAAAGACAATGTTGCTGGTAATATATTGCTAAATATTGATATAAGTATTAGAGTACTATAATATAAATTAAGAAAGGTAAGACAGAGTTTTTGTCAGCTTATTTTATCTAAATACTGATAAAATTTATTAGGAATACTGCCATTGTTTTTATCTTATTAGGAAGTGAAATAATATTTTTGGGTCCTGCAATAATTTGCCATATAAGTTCTCATGGTTATGGAGTCTGTGCCTACAAAGTTTTATAAGAAAAAATCTAGAGTAAACTATCGAAAGCTTCTGACTTAAGTAGCAAGCGGTAGCGGTATATATACTATGTCTTTACTTGCAGAATGCTGTTTGTAAGGTTGTTTCTGCAAATGTTTAAATACGTTTGTTATTTTCTCTATAATTACAATTCCTAATTTATTAAACATTTAAATAAAGGGTAAAAACTTTGCTAAATAAGACTCACTAGATAATGCTCATCATTATTTACAAAAAAATCAGAATTTAAATAATTAGTTATGTTGTGCATTTTATAATTATTTATATAGCTTTGTTTTATTATTTGTGGAAGAGTCAAATAGTCCAGTAAATGAAATTTGTTACAGTTATCTCTTTAAAACTCAGTAATTCCTTTTATACATGTAATGTATACATATTTGCTTATGAAAATGTAATTGAGTGGAAAAGTTTACTTTTAGTGGCACATTACATTTTATTCATATAATATGAATATAATAAATAGAGAGATGAGTTTCCTATTGTTTAGCTTCTCAGTTCTTACTTACAGCCGTATGAAAGAACTGGGAAGTAATGTAAGTAATTATATAAAATTAAATATTTTTATTCACAGTCTAAAATTTCTAAACTCTACAATTAATGTATATGTATATAAAAATAATTCTTATACTCCTTTTCATATCTCAATGTATATGTTAATTTTATGTTTATTTATGGCTACATTTTTTTGTAAACTTTGCAACTAGATTTTTATTATTGAAATTGTTGTAATACATTTCCTCTGTAATGTAAGTCTCCATCTCTCCATTCTCTGTCACAGGGCTCGTTAATGTGTAATAATATGACAATTGTTAGAATAGAAATATAATTATTGTCTTATATGAAATAGCTTAAAGACAAAGGTCTTTAGCGAGTGCGTCCTGTTATGATATACGGAGCCGAGACACTGATGGTGCGATTGGTCCACCAATTTAAGGTCGCTCAGCGTGCTATGGAGAGGGCTATGCTCGGAGTTTCTCTGAAGGATCGGATTCGAAATGAAGAGATCCGACAGAGAACCAGAGTTACCGACATAGCCCAAAGAATTAGCAAGTTGAAGTCTGGCTGGTCACATATGTCGCAGAACCGATGACCGATGGAGTAGACGGGTTCTAGAGTGGAGACCACGGCTCGGCAAACGTAGTGTAGGACGCCCTCCAGCTAGGTGGAGCGACGACATAGGTAAACTGGCTGGCAGCGGTTGGATGCGTAAAGCTGAAGATCGAGCTTAATGGCGTGCCATAGGAGAGGCCTATGTCCAGCAGTGGACGAAAGCAGGCTGAATATGATGATGATGATGAAATAGCTTCTGTCTAATTTTGTACAATAGATAAGAGTTACTTTTAACTCATTGCCATTCATTAATTCAAAACTAATGTGTAAGATAACTTGAAATATAAACTATCATAATATATTATTTTTACAGGTGTAACTCTCCCAATCTTCGAGTCCTACCAAGACGGTTCAGATACCTATGAGTTGGCCGGTCTGGCGCGCGGTGGTCAGCAACTTACCAAGCTAAAGAAGAACTTTCAAAGCGCAGTGAAATTGCTTGTGGAGTTGGCTTCCCTACAAACGTCCTTTGTGACTCTAGACGAGGTTATTAAGATTACCAACAGACGTGTTAATGCTATTGAGCATGGTAAGCTTAAATGAATATCCCTTAAACATATTAAGCAGTGTTTTTGGTATTGAAACAAGAAAAGTTAAAACGCGCACATAGAAATTTATTTGGTTAATAAATGAAATGAAATAAACTTTATTCAATTAGACTTATTACAAGTACTTTTGAAGTACTTATGAGTACAATGTAGATAAAATTACTCCCATGTTGGATTGCTTTTTGTTTATTCCCTCCACGACCGCGGACACGACGGCGTTACAGTTAACAATATATTTCTTAGAAATTTGATTAATTTCTTATAAATTTAGGTGGAGGTGTTATTTGTGTTGTGGTCTGTAAGCTACAATTTTACATTTATATTTATCACTTGTGCACTAATATTGTAAAGGGGATAAAGTTCATAAGTTTGGATGCAGGGAATAATCTCTGGGACTACTGATCCGTTTCTAAAAATTCTTTCAGGAAACTACAAGACCGTTAAGGTCATACTTTCTTCGATTTACGCGAATATTTGACATTTTAAATGAAACGTCGAGAACCAAAAATCAAAATAAATCCGCGAAATAATTCGAAAACATAGTTTTAATTAAAATACTATAGGTCAGTGTCTTTACTATCAAATATCATAATATATTTAATTAAAATCTTAGAAAAAACGGCAGTTAAGTTGCTTTATCGGAGTTCACTACCCAAATGGTTTGAAGTCTATACAGATAAATAAATTGAAGTGTCTGTTTGTAATGTAGAAATAAAAGCTTTTTACTAAGTACATATGAAATTATATACAGTACTTATAAGAAAAACAATTTTTAAAATTTTATATCTGTTTGTTCTGAATAAACTCCGAAACGGTTGAACTGATTTTGACGCGACTTTTACTGCCACATAGCTGATGTTATAAAGAGTAACTTAGCCTAATTTTATTTTAGAAAAAGAATTAGGGTTCCGATCAAAAAAATTAAAACGTAGCTAGGAAGCGAAGCGAGGGTAAGTCGCTAGTAAAGCAATAAAATGTAGGGTAAATTACATTAAGTAGTAGTCAGAATAATAGCGTGATGATTATCTTAAATTTTCAGTGATCATCCCCCGTTTGGAGCGTACCCTGGCCTACATCATCTCCGAGCTAGACGAGCTGGAGCGTGAGGAATTTTACCGGCTTAAGAAGATTCAGGATAAGAAAAAGATTATCAAAGACAAGGCAGAGGCTGTATGTACCTTTATTTTATCTTTTTTTTATCTGTGGTTAACCTACATGACCCGCTTGAGTACGAGCGTTGTAAAACGACAACTAAATATAAATATTTTTCATATATCGCATTTAGCGAAAACTAACTTAAACTAAAATCATTTTCTCCATTGATTTCCAAAATATCTCATATTTGAGATTACTCGTACTAGGCTATTTGACAGTGTGAAAAATATTGTTTTATTTATTTACATCCGCATAGGTTAGGGGTTTTAAAAGCGATTTAAATATTTATATATTTATAGGCAAAAAAATATTTTGTGACATATGCAAGAAGGCCTCTACAAACTTAATTTATTTTTCTCTGTTACCACGTGATCTAAATTATCTGGATTGGCTGATGTGCAATAAATGACATATATACATGAGTGCAGTAAACTGTCAAACCACAAGCCTGTCATTGCATTGAGTATTGACATACCGTCATTGTCGTTCCTACTTCCTTGTATTTGTGCACGCTGGCACTAAACACCATTTGTACATTTTTTTTTATTAGATAATCTATACTTGTGAGTTTGTGAGGTCGTAGCGGGTAATCTCTGGATCTACTGAACCGATTTAGATGAAATTTGATAAGAAGATAGTTTGAGACCCTAGGAAGGAAGACACCTTTCTATCCCGGAAATCATCCCTTAAGGTAAAAATGGGGATGATATTGCATTGGGAAGCAAGCTAGGGACGAACCCGAGCGAAGCGAGGGTGAGTCACTAGTCTACTTATATGTTTTCAGCTTATCTTGCTGGTATGAAAAGTCCTATTGGGCTAACTAATATCATTTCAGACAATAATAATAAATCCTAAACTTGTAAAATCTTAGTCTTTCACTCAAATCCGTTGAGTCGTTGCAGATTGAAGAAGTACTCTCGTATTTATAATATTCGCGTAATACTTCGATTACTCAATTATGCAAATTGAATTAAAAATTTATATTATAAGAATCGTGTAATAATGTAATTTTTATCAATTTTGAAAACTGTTTATAAGTGTATTAGAGGTTTTATTTTAATGGCGAAAGTGTTTATGGGCCGCAGTAAACCACAGTACAGTACGGTACTATTTATCTCGGTACCACTGCTCCTGTCTTATTGAAAAAATCATTAGCCACGTTTGTTACCAGCGTTTGATCCTAATAACCTACCGATCTCTCGTTTCCTTACTATAGATAGACATTTGACATGAGCATATTATGTCAAATTCCTATCTGTAGTAAGGAGAACCAGATAGATAGGTTCTTGGCATTTATGATGACACATTTAGCTCAGTTTGTAGTAACCCTACTTGCTGTGACAGCGGTCGCGGGTTCGAGTCCCGCTGGGGGGTATTTATTAGTGTGATGAGCATGGATGTTTGTATTCTAGTCGTGGGTGTTTATATTTATAATATTATGTATGTATTTAAGAGTTATGTGTAGTGTATCAACTATCTGGTATCCATAACACAAGCCTCGTAGCTCACCATGGAACTAGATGGCGCTGTGTGTTAATGTCCCAACATATTTATTATTTATTTATATATTGGAAAGTGTCAATTGTTAATATTTTAATATACTATCGAATAATAACTATCTTTTCGGATTTTTTCGTGGTTTTATTTTGATTCCCGAGTTTCAAATGCTTTACAGCAATCACTATACTATTTTAAATTTAATTTTAATTTTTCACAGAAAAAAGCGGCAATGCTACTAGCCTACAGAGACAAGGAAGTCGGCGGCATCGCTAACCTTCTCGACGAGGGAGATGAAGATTTACTGTTCTAAATACATGTATTTAGAATACTATTCAAACTGTAGTGCGGTCACTTTGGAGCCAGCAACATAACTTCCCTATTTTTTGTGATACTTCAAAATATTTAAATCTAACCCATTTTTTTATTTCGAGCTTGTCTTACTTATCGTTTACACATTGATTATTACATAGAAAAGAGTAAAATAATGTAAGATAAAGTCGAAAAATCATTTGGATACGTTTGCGGCTTCATATTGACTGCGTAAAGTAATTTTATTGATATTACAGTGTTCATAGCTCTGTACATATATTGTTATCGATGTTTTGCTTGAAAATGTATCTTATCACCTCGTGTTACGGTATAAAATCCGTTGATTCGTGCAAATGTAGGTGTATGTAAGCATTCCAGCAATTTTAGTGTAAAATATTCAGGTTTTACTTAATTATTTTTTATATAATTAATTTTGATATCATCTGTGTACTATTTTTGTTATATTTTGTTTGTATTATCTATAGTATTGTAACAATATATTATCTGTATATTAATTGATTTCAATGAATATTTAACAACTTGTTTAGTTTTAAGTGAAACCTGAATAATAGTCGGTGTTAAAACCGTTTAAGCTTCAATGAAATGCTGTAAAGCATAAATCAATATAAGTACACCCAATAAAGTATTTATGGTTTTTGAATTGTTGTTTGATAATAGATCAGTATATTTTAAGTAATCATGTAAATAAATACAAGTTGGTGAACGAAATATTAAATATTATTATTGATGATATTTTGCTTTTATTTTCCTTAATTTTCAGCGTCTTATTCTAGACGTATATTCAAAAAGTAACAGTATTCAACAAGTTAGCAATACAAATATGCCTTTGTTACAATGCCGATAATTTCTTGTAGTACTCGCAAATAAAAACTGAATTTTATTTAAAAATTTAACATTTAACAGTTGTTAAATTTAATCCATACACAAGGTGAAGGAATAATACTTTTTAAATTTTCACAGAATTTATTGGTCATCAAAAAATTTTATTCAAAACTTTGTAAAGAAGTTTGTAAATGAAGAGTGCACATAAATTAGGTATGTAAATTAGGCTTACGCTTTAATATTTATTTTATTACATTTGTTAGAATACTCTATTACATATAAACAATTATAAAGAAACGAAAATATAAAGAAGACATTTTACGAGACAACTAATAATTTAATTTTTTTAATAACTTTAAAAATATTAATCAGCAGAGTTTTTAGTGAGATAATATCTATTACCATGTTTCTTTAGCAAGCCAAAATCCACAGCACACCTTAATATTTTACTTATAGACTTGCCTGTCTTTGCTGGATCGTGAGCGACTTTGTAATGTTGTTTTAAGAAAGTTATCACTTTGCGAGAAGTCAGTCCTTGTTTCGAAGGCAGTCTGTGAAATGCCCACAGGACGATTGCAGCAGGTATCCCCTTCCTTAAGCCACGTTTTATTGAACTATAATTTTCTCTGTTTCTATCTGTACACTGTGTACAACACGTGGACAAGCTAGAGCAAGATTTCGATCGTGTTTTCATTTTAAATCGTTTTATTTACAAAGAATTTCTATATGGACATGGATTTTTCATTTTTTTGGTACTAGATACGCTATAGATGTAGGTAATATATTGTTAGTTTATTTTATGTGATGTCAATGGCTTTGTGTCAAACATATTAATTTGATTGACAAAAAATATTTTTTAATACAGCTTGCATGTTTTGTCAGTTGTATCACCTATAACTGGCTGGCCTCGTTGGCCTAGCTTATTGTTTGTCTACCGAGGTGAGCTTGAGTCCTGGATGGGTCAAAAGAGCTCTAGAATTTTTTGCCTATAAATTCACAGCAGTAGCTTGGAGTCAGATGCCAATTAAACGTATCTTACCCTTTCGCGAATGGCAATGTGGTCTATATCTATAATATCGAGAAGACTATGAAAACAAAAGTTGATTTTAAATGTAGCATTGTTGAATAGGTATTGTAATGCCATCATCTAGTATTTCAAAATGACCTATAATTTCTATCAGCATCCGCTCGATGTTATGTACCTATAACGTATTCCCTAAAAAAATGGAGATTATGATTAATTTAATTAAATGATTGAATATTATTTTAAATTAAATCTACAATGTCCTCTATAACAGTAAATATTTACTAATAATACCTCTATCGAAACGCATAACTGTAATAGGACAAAATTTTCTACTTGGCCGAGTTTCGAAGGTCGATAGATCAGACGACGGCTCAACAGACTAGTTGTTCGTTCAACGAAAGGAACGTATCCGGTAACCGGGGGGTGAATTATTGCGACTTCATTTACTATGACGCGGGTGTTCCGCGATGAATGTAGAACAAGCTTTTGTGCCTTATAGATACGTAGCGCGGGAATTTTCTTGTGTTCTACTTTAATGGTATTCTTTAGAAATTCTCTTAGTATTGACGAATCTTTGATCTTAAATCTTTGGGCTGTTTTGTTTCTATATCTATTTTATTCTTTAGTGACAATTATTGTTTATCTATAATCGTTTGTCTTTACTTATATGTGTAGTTATAAATGTAATATATACAATATACAAGGTAAACGTTTTAAAAGATTTTTTTTGGTTGTTTTCTATCTTGTAAGAGCGCTCGTATGTCTGTTTGGTGCTCAGTGGATACAGTTAAATTCTATTAATATACCTAATTATTCAATTCAATTCTTTGTTTCCTTGTTTCTAAGATTAATATAATTAATTATACTAAATAATTCTATAGCATAATGGGCAGAGAAAGAAATTATGCTAGAATTTAGATTTTGGATGTTTATTTTGAGGGGTTCAAATTAAAATTAACAATTAATTATTATTATTAGGTTCAAATAAAGAAATATTTTATGTAGGTAGGTACATCGTATGACGTAGCAATTTACAAAGAGGCTTATAATTATAAAACCATGAAATTCGAAGGTATTAAATACACACATAAAGAATCCATCTTCGCATCTGGCTCATATTTTACGATTTTTTTTATCGATAGCGACTTTCTAATAGTCTCTTTCCGTTTTAGTAAAAAATGTCTAATTTTATTTCCCTTTGACCAGGCTACGCCGTATATTTTCCTTCTGTTTGATCGACTGCTCATAATTCAAATTAACTTCTTTATTATAGACCCAATTGCATTTCAATGAAATTACGGAACGATAAATTAATACTGTATTTATATTTCATATACAGATTCTTAGGGGAAGGAGAACTTGTTAAAGACTTGTAAAATTTTAATTAATTTTATTTCTAAGTTTATATGAGGCGGAGACATTAGCTATATAAACGACTGAAGTAGTAGTTGACTATTTTTGGTTTTAACGATAATCTGATAGACATATAATTTACGATCAATTCATATTATTTTTTATTTTGTAAAACTATACGTAATTTATTGAATTTAACTTAAGCGAAATATTAAAAGTATAATACAGCTAAATTCTATTAAAATAAACGATAGCCCGCGGGGAACCGATGTTTGCTTGGCCCTATAAAGGTCTGTTTGAACGCCAATCAGCCTGAAAATCCGAGCGAATTGCCTGTATGTTCCGAATTATGATTGTGTACTTCTAAAATAGAGATAATTTATATAGATGGAGGTATATTGGTTTCTATATTTTGTCTTTGATTTATGATTTCAAGACCTCAAATCCTACTAATATTATAAATGCGAAAGTTTGTGAGGATGTATGGATGTCTGGATGTATAGCTGTAAGGATGTTTGTTACTCTTTCATGCAAAAACTACTGAATCGATTTTAATGAAACTACAATAATTATAGCTCATACATCAGAATAATACATAGGCTACCTTTTATCCCGGAAAAATTACAGTTCCTGTGGGATAGATTTGTTTTTTATATGAGTTATTAGATGTTAATTATTCTTAATCAGTAAGTATTGCATTTATTTGTATGACGAATATTTATTAGTATGATTAGTTAAAAGACAATGAATATAATATAATGGCCGCTAAGGTCGTGCAGTAAAAACCTGACATGATTAAAGCATCGATAAAGTTATTTGAGTAAGTTCTAATACTACTGGTATTAGCGATACAGATTACTGGAGAGCATCTGACGAGCATAATTCTACTTTCATAGAGAAAAATGAGAATCGGATGGTGTATTTTCATAAGAAATTTCGTAAAGGAAACATCAGTTCTGTAAAATCGATCCTGACTTTAAAAGTTTGCTTAAATATGTATATAGCAATTGATAAAGTTGTTGCTTTCGTTATTTTACACTTCTATCCCCGAGGGGCATTAATTATGTTGGAGCCAAAACCACAAGAAATTGAATATAATATCAAGCTTTCTCTAAATAGAGCGGAGACTAATTGACTAAACTGCTGAGACATTTTGCGACAAAATTCGGGTATGACATTTCAAAAACCAACAGAAATTGTAGAGTTTTAAAAGGATATACGAGAAGTACGGCGTTTTACTAACATGTTACGCTATCTGGTTTATAGTGTCAAAAGTTTTTATTGGAAAGCTAAGCCATTTTTTGTCATTAACATTTTTAGCCCTTTTTATTATTTTAAAGTGTCCTAGATACTATACATCACTATCTGTTAATATCTCGTTGCAATTTTATATTTTTTATGTATAGTGGGTTAAATAATAAATAATGTACTGTCGACGACACGTTTGGCTCATTTTGTAGTTTTTGTTGTTTTTGTGTTTCTGTGCCAGCGGTCGCGGGTTCGAGCCCGCTGGGGGCAATCATTTGTGTGATGAGCATGAATGTTTGTACTTCAGTCATGGGTGTTTATATTTATAATATGTATGTATTTAAGGTTATATATGTGTAGTGTATCAACTATTTGGTATCCATAACACAAGCCTCGTAGCTTACCATGAAACTAGATGGTGTTGTGTGTTAATGTCCCAACATAAAAAAAATGTGCTAATGCGTTCCTTTTTAATAACTAATAAATAAGCCAAAAAGTTACTTAGACAGCTTTTTGTCCGGTTATTA